GGGGCGGGGGCCAGGGAATGTCTACACTGGCTACCCTAGAAGGTCAGAGAGTGGGCTCTGGAGTCCCAAGGACTGGTTGGGATTCTGCTGCTAGTCCTATGACCTCAGGCAAATTTGATTCTTAATTTCCTGTGCCTCAGTTTCTCCTGTAGAATGCAGATAGTAACAGGTAGTCTTGAGGATTAAATGAGTTGATGGGCGGGGGGAAAAAACTTCTATAATAGTTTCTAGCACCCTTTCTTGCTCAAATGTTAGCTACTGCCACCACCACTTCCGAATAGGGAATATTATCGGTGATGCCAACTTTGTGCCTTGGGTGACTGGCTGCTGCTGCTTGCTGGGGGAGTGGGGTGGGGGTGCAGGGACAGGGTGTGAGCTGAGGTTTAAAAATTCAGTTTGACAAAGTAATCCTAGATAGCTAATTTACACCCCCACCCCACCCTCCTGCCATCTAAACATTCTGATCTACCTTCTAAGAATATGAAAAACAACTGACGATCCCTGCTGTCCGTCCCTGGGGCAGGCTGTTGGGCGTGGGGGAGAAAGATACTATCAATTTGGAGATGAATCTGAGAAAAGCTCCACCCTCTCTGAAAGTGAAAGCATAGAAACACGAAACACACAAACACAAAGTAGGGGAGTGGAAGTAAAAGTCTGAATGTAACCCATGCTACAGGTATCATAAGACCAAGGCAAATCATATTTTATCGTCGGGCAGTTTTCACACACAGTAGCAGGTCTGCTGTTTAAGTAATTTTAGGCCCCTCCTATGGTGATCTGCATTTCAAACAAAACCCCTAAATGATTAGTTCCCACACTCTGATGCCTGAAGTTGTATCCCAGCAGCAGATCTCCCACTAGTTACCTGTGGGACTGCAAACAAGGCCTTTGCTATCATTCTCAATGAGGTTCCTTATTGGATATTTATGAGAAGGGTATTAAAAATCATTGGCTTGGCCTGGCTGGCGTGGCTCAGCGGTTGAGCACCAACCTAGGATCCAGGAGATCATGGTCTGGTTCCCAGTCAGGGCTCATGCCTGGGTTGCAGCTCAGATCCCTGACCAGGTGCGTGCAGGAGGCAGCTGATCAAGGACGACTCTCTCCCTTCCTCTCTCTGAAATCAATAAAGATATATATTTTTAAAAAAGTAAAATATAATCATTGGCTTGATTCTCCCCCAAACCTGGTAACTGGTTCAAGGACAACATCCACCAGGCGAGAGAAGCAGGAATCTGGCCACTTTTCTGTGCTTCATTTTTTCCTTCCGTGATGTGATAACATCCATCACAGGGCTATTAAATTTTAAATTTTGTATTCTACTTTACAATGACATGACTGCATAAGAGTCATTGATTAAGAAAAAAAATTGGACAAGGACACTAAGTCATGAAAAACCTAGATGAAAATACACCATGAGAAAAACAAGCAGCCACATTTTAGGCATATCAGGTTTAATCACTTCTAGTCCCATGGCCCATTTATCAACTATTGAGTTACTTCTGTGTAAACTTGTGTGCTTCAAAGGACATTATCAAGAATGCAAAAAGACAACCTTCAGAATGGGAGAAAAATATTTGCAAATCATATTTCTGATAAGGGACTTACATCTAAAATATATAAGATACTTATATCCAAGATATATCAAGAATCTTACAACTTGAAAATATAGACAAATAATCCAATTCAAAAATGGAGAAAGCCTCCAAAAAGATGCAGTGTACCAGTAAGCACATGAAAACATGCTCAACATTATTAGTCATTAGGGAAGTACAAATCAAAACCACAATGAGGTACCACTTCACACCCACTGGGGTGGCTGTAATCAGAGAGACAGACAGTAGCAAGTGTTGGCAAAGTTGTGGAGAAATTGAAATTCTTGTCCACAGCTGGTGGGAATGTAAGATGGTGCAGCCATTATGATAGTTCCTCAAAAAATTAAACACAGAATTACCATACGATCTAGCAATTTCACTTCTGAGTACGGGTGTACGTCAAAGATATTGTGGGTTCTGTTCCAGACCAGTGCAATAAAGCAACTATCAAAATGAACCAAGTCATAAGCTTTCTGCTTGGAAGAGCTGGCTTTCAATTTGTTAAAAAAACAGAAAACACCTGTGAAGCACAATAAAACAAAGCACAATGAGACAAGGTATGCCTATAAATACTGAAAGAATTGAAAGCAGGGTCTTGAGATATCTGTACACCCTTGTTTATAGCAGCATTATTCATAACAGTCAAGAGGTGGAAACAGTTCAAGTGTCCATCAGAGGATGAATAGATATACAAAATGTGCTGTATATATACAATGGAATATTATTCAGTCTTAAAAAGGAAGCTCTGACACATGCTACAACATGGGTGAACCTTGAGGATATTATACTAAATGAAATAAGGCAGTCATAGAAAGACCAATACTTTATGATTCCATTTATATGAGGTACATAGACTAGTCGAATTCATAGAGGCAGAAAGAAGAATGATGGTTGCCTGAGGCTGAGGGGAGAAACAGAGTTACTATTTAGTG